TGGGGAGGGCACTGGCCTTGCAGGCAGCTGACCTGGGTTCAACCCCCAGCATTCCACAGGATCCCCTATGCACTTTCAGGAACGATTCCTGAGCATCGCCAGGTATGGCCCCAAACAAACAAACAAAAACCCCCAAATGAAAGTATAAACATTTAGAGAAAGAAAGCACCATGGATCTTCCTGAACGGGTCAGAGCCACCTGATCTGATTCACAGAGATGCTTTATCAGACAGCCTGATCAGGTGAGGGACAACTGAGCCATCACTTCCTTTGTGCTCCGGCCTCCCTGGAAATTTCCAAACGGGGTGGGTCCTTCAGCTGCTGCCCCTTCCTCAAGCCCCTCCCCCCCCCACACAGCCCTGTGTGCGGCAGGAGCCTCGACCGGGCAGAGTTCATAGCCAGGGGTCCTGGGTCCTGATTACAGTAAAGTTTATGCTTCCCCAGGAATAGTTACCTCAATAAATGGGGGGCTGTCGAGAGGGGAGCCAGACCCGATTAGGGTCTCAGCCTTGCTCCAGACAGGGAGATCCTCTCCTGAATTCGCCCTGTGCTTGCAACATGCAAGGAGGTGATCAGTGGTCCCTTCTCTATCCCAAAGGGACCTCTAGGACAATGACGGTTGGGAGGGATGGCTCTGGATGGCAGAAGCATGCTGGAAGTGGCTAAAGGAACCAACACAATGGCCTCTCAGTGTCTGTATTGCAAACACAACGCCCAAAAGTAGACAGAAAGAGAGAAAGAAGAAAAGTGCCTGCCATAGAGACAGGTTGGGGTTGGGGAGTGGCAGGAGGGAAAATGGGGACATTGGTGATGGGAAATGTCCACTGGTGGAGGGACAGCTGTTGGAACACTGTATGACTGAAACCCCATCATGAACAGCTTTGTAACTATGTAGCTCACAGTGATCCAATAATAAAAAAAAAATTTAAAAAGAAAAGGTGATCAGGTTCCCAGTGGAAAATGAAACTCATCCCACTGGCCCTCAGTCTCTCACACTGTGACGCCTCCATTTATTCCCTTTATTTGCTCTCCAGAAAACCAACAGTCACAAAGAGTTTTCTCTCACGGCAGTAGAGAGGTATTGGACAATAAAGCTCTGAGAGAACAATACAAGAAAAGCCAAGTATTCTAGGATGGAAATTCACTCAGGAAGCAGGGAGAGCGTCTTGGTGCCAAGGGCACTTGTGCCTCCCACCCCGAGTCTCCAGGAATGACAGGGGTCTTAGAAGTGGGTGGCTTCAATCCCCCACCCTTCATGTTTGGGAGAGAAAAGCATGAGTGTCAGTAAGGCTCTGTGAGGAGAGGCCAGGGCCAGGGAGAGAGGGCAGGGCTGAAGCAAGACTGAGGCAGGGCAGGCAACAGATGCGGCAAGGATGACTTGGGATAGGTATTATATAGGACAGGTAATGATGGGACAGGTATTTCACAGGACAGGTGCAATACAGGGGTAGGTATTATACAGGGCATGTAAGTATTGTAAAGGACGGATATTACATGGGGTAGGTATTATAAAGGACAGGTTTCACAAGGGGCAAGAATTATAAAGAGCAGATACTCTAAAGCACGAGAATACCATGGGACAGAATTATAAAGGGCAGATACTATAAAGGACAAGTATTACACGAGACAGTTATTATAGAGGACAGATACTATACAGGACAAATATTCCATGGGACAGGTATTACAGCAGGGGATACTGTAAGGCACAGGTATCCCATGGGACAGGTATCATAGCAGGAGATACTATAAAGCCTAAGTATTACACGGGGCAGGTATTACACGCCTGTATGTTCACACTCAGGTATGATAAGGGGCAGATGCTATAAAGAACAGGTATCACGCGGGACAGGGCCATACAGGCCAGGTGCAGCCCTGTTGAAAATCTGACGGAAACTGAGGCAGGGGCTGAAGGAAGGCTCTAAGTAGGTTCTGCTGTGGTCAGGAGCTGAGCGTCTACGCCTGCCCCAGTGTCCTAGCCAGCCCCTCTCTCAGGCCTCAGAAATACTGCGAGGTCTTTTGCTGCTGACAAAGTTCTGGCCACAGGTGGCCTCCACCAACGCACCAAAACAAAGCGGAAGGCCAGGGTGTGTATCGCCACGGATGTCTCACATTCGATTTGTTCAGCTGGCCCGAAGCTACCCAGAGATAAGCACCTCGCCCCAGAAACCACAGGCCAGTGGAGAGACTGAGGGCGGCGGTGGTCGGAGTCCAGGCCCCAGCACAGCTTCGGCCTGTTTCTGCCGCCATCCTGTAGCCTCGCTCCGGGCCCGGCACCATCTCCAGGGGTCCGTGCACACATTCTCCCTCCCCCTTCCCACCGACCTCCCGACCAGTCTGGATGAAGGTAGACTCTTATGTTTAGAATTTTGGGGCCAGGAAGGAACTCGTAGATATGCAAAGAAAACAGTGCACAGGGGAGCGGTGGGAGGGGGGGATGGAGGGAAATTTTGAGCTTCTGCAAATTTTCTACCTGTTGTCTCCCTCCTACCCCCTTATTCCAGCTCCCAACACACCGACTCAAGCCAAACAGCCTGTAAAAGGTACCGCTTCTCAGTCTGTCGCGTGGCAGGCCCGGCCACACACACACACACACCCCAGCAGGTCTCAGCTGCACCCCAGTTCACAGAACAGGAGGGGAAAACGGAGCACTGTTCTAGAAGCAGCAAGACAGAAAGCAGACCCTCAGCTCACCTCCCAGGCCCAGGTCCCGCTGCACAGCTGTCAGTCACTGACAAACAGCAGCATCATCCCTAAGGCAGGTGGGGAGCCCTGGGGGCATGGCCATTTGTCCCAGGCTTGGCAGGGCGTGGCCGGGCTGGGACCGCTCCTGGGGCCCAGCCAAGGCTTCTTCTAGTGCCTTAACAGACCGAGGTCAGTGCAGGGTAGAAACCAGAGGTCTGGCTGCTATCCTTCCTGCTCAATCCTCCTCCCATCCCAGAAGCCATCACTACCCCTACCTGCTCCAAAATCTCCCTCCAGGTTTACAGCCAGAAGAAGCAACATCCCAGGACCACGCCCAATGTCCTCAGGGTCTTTCTAGTCAAACCTCCATGATGAAGAGGACAGTAGACAAGCCTCCCTTCCTCTGACCTGCCCGGCCCCACCCAGGGGAAGGCTGGTGGCCTCTCCCTCTCCAGGGTGAGGGAGAGAAGTAGAAGCCAGATGGGGACCAGATCAGAGACAGCCTGCGTTTCCACCGATCAGATAGACACTGAGAGAGCGGGAGGAGGAAAGTCCCAGGATGCCGGGTCAGAACCAGCCATCGGCCCAAATCTGGCCAGGCCCTGAGCTCTGGAACCCGCCAAGGGTACCATCTGGAGGATGCGTAGACTCTGAACACAAGCACAGATGTGTCCCCCAAGATGGACCCTTGGGGACCTGCTGGGCCCCTGAAGGCAAGCTCAGGTGTGTCCTTCCCGAAGAGAGGCCGAGGGGGCATCACCCCAGGAAAGGTGGCGGGGGGCTAGGGAGATGGAGATCGGGGTGGTGCAGCAGGAGGAGGCAGGAGGCGAGGAACGGATCTCTCCTAAGGAACCTAACCCTGCCCACCCCTGGACTTCAGCCCAGAGACGCCGATATGACCCCTGGCCCCAGAATTAGGACAGAATAAACAGAAACAAGGAACCAGAGCAGCGCCCGTGCCTGTGAACAGGCCACAGAGAGTTGCTCCCAGCATTTTGTCCACAGAGCCCCCCACTCCCAGAGCCCGGGCACGATGCCCATGGAGCTCACCCATTGTCCAGGGTTTGAGTCCCACAGGCTCAACTTCCTGTCCTAACTGACCCCCAACCAGCCATGCCCCCTTCTCCAGTCCTTTCTCCAGCTGGGTCAAAGAGGGCCAACCTTTCTCAATGGCTGCAAAAGGATGAGACCTTCGGTGCAGGCAAGGTGCTGGGGACAGTATAGACTGGAAGTGCAGGGTGGGGGGGATGTGGCGGGGGTGCTGGATTGGGAAGCAGACCACCCCACCTGTTACCACCGGCCCAAGGACACCTGCTCTAGGTGAAAAGTAGTTCCTTTGGAGCCGGTAGGAGTTCTCCTTCGCTTAAGCATCACCTGCCTGGAAAGCAACCGTGATCCCCATGCTGATCACGCTCAGAAGAAGCAGGAGTAGGGCATGGCGCTAAACCTGCAGGCTGGCCCGTGGACCCCTAGCCCGGCGCTGAGTGTGCACGCCCCTCTCTGAGGCTCCGGGTGAGGACAAGGGATACCTCCTCCCGGGAACAGCCCCCAGACAGAAACACCAACCAGTCCCTCTCCGGGACCCCCAAGGCCACTCCGGTGGGTCCCCCGCGCGGAGGTGGGGCGGGGGAGGGGGTAGATTCTGTGTGCGCGAGTTTCCAGGCTGGTGAGCAAAGAGCCCACTGGGATGGAGGGGGTGTTGGGGTGGGGGGAAACAGGATCTCCGGACGGAAAAAAGGGGGCGGAAACCCCCCTGGGGAAGGCGGCTCTTCCTGCTCAAGTTTGCCCAACTCTCAAGCTCAGGTGCTGGCCGGGAGCAGCGCCCCCGCGGGGCCCGGGCCTCTCGGCCCAAGACCCCCCTACCCGTGGGGGGAGGCGGCCGCGGGATCATCGCAGACGCCGCCCGCCCGCCTCCTCCGGGCAGGAAGCGCTTCTCCTTCTCCTTCCCTCGTCCCCAGCAGCGCGCGCGCGGCGACACCCCCGCGCCGCCTCCTCGGAGCGCGCGGGCGACACCCCGGAGCCCCCGGACACCCCGAAGATCCACCCCCCACCCCGGGCCGGGCGGTGCGCGGCGGGGTCCCGAGCCCCCTCCCCTGCCACCCTGCAGCCCGGAGCGGCCCCGGAGACCTCGGGGGTAGAGGGAGGGGGGGACGACGACACAGCGGGAAGCCGGGGACGCGCACCCCCGCCCGCAGCGCGCCGCCCCCGCGCCCCGGCCCGCCCCGTGGGCACCCAGGGGGGCACCCGGGGGGCGCCGCCGCCGCGGGCCCGGCGAGCCGGAGCGAAGCCGAGGGCGCGGCGGGCGGGGGTCCACTTACGCGCGGGCTCGGGGGAAGCCCATGGACAGCAGCACGTCCAGCGCCGAGCCGTGCCGGAGGGTGCCGGGGCGCTGCTGGCGGGCCCGCCGCGGGGTCACTCTGCTGTACAGCTCCTCGCGCGCGGCCATGGCCAGGGGTGCGGGCGCGGCCGGGCTCAGCGCGCTGCCATGGCCCGCCGGGAGGGGAGGCCGCGCTCCGAGCTGCCCCCGCCGGCCGGGCTCGGGCGCTCCGGGGACGGGCAATGAGTAATTTTTGAATGGATCAAAAAGGAAAAGGCAGCCCGGGGGGCCGGCCCGGCCGCGCCCGCCCCGCGCCGCCCCGCCCCTCTCTTAAAGCGGCCGGGCGCGCCGGGGAGGGGCGGGAGGAGGCTTCTGGAACCCGGACGCGTCCCGAGCGAGCGAGCGGCGCGCTCCAGCCTGGCTGGTAAGGGCCCGCGGGGTCTCCGGGAACCGGGTTGCGAGTGTCAGGGAGCCTTAGGGGCGAGTGCATGGTCGGGGGTGCCACCAGACCACCCCCCATTGGCCCCCAGACAAGGGTCAGAGCCGTAGCACAGCAGGGAGGGCGTTTGCCCTGCACGCAGCTGCCCCAGGTTCCATCACCAGCATCCCGTACAACCCCCCCACACACACACACACCCGACCCCCAGCACCACCAGAAGTTATTCCTGAGTGCAGAGTAACCCCTGAGCATCGCCGGGTGGGACCCAAAAAAAGAGGGAGGGGAAAAAAGACTGCAACGTCCAGAGGCTTACTCAGAGGCTATAGGGAGGTAGGGACCACTTCTCTGGTTCTCAAGAGGGACCTGGAAGGCCAAGCTGGGACCTTAAGTTCTCAGGCTGTTGAGAAAGGAGAGAAGGAAGAGAGGGGACGCCTTTGGAGCCTTCTGATGCTAGGTGCTAAGTCCCAAAGGGGTTCTCTCCCTCCGCGCTGTGCTCAGAGATGTGGAACTGGGGTCCCAGCCACCCCCTCCTTGCTCTGCACCCTCACTGGACCTGCACCCCTTTTCACCAGGAAACAGAGCCATTGTCAGCCCCAGGAGGGCGTGTGTGAGGTGGGGAGGGGACCAGGGCCCAGCATCCGGACACCCTTCCCCCCTTCTTCCGCGGATGCTGCTACACACAGATAAACCCTAACACTGCTGGGGCCGTGGGCCTGGCAGCCACATGCTACTGTAGTTAAGGAAAGAGCTGGTTAGGCATTAGAAGGACACTTCAGGATGTCTCTGGTGCTCCTGTTTGACATCAGGAAGGCGCCACTGTGTGCGCCTGGACCATTTAGCCCATGACCTCATCTCTGCATCCTTGTCACCTCGCCTTGAGGGACTGGCTGAATTCTCCAGGACCCGGCTCCTCTCCCAGGCTGCGCCCAGGTGGATAGCCAACCCTCATGGAACACATTTCTGCGAGGGCTTTAGAAAGCATCTAAAGGCTTTCCCAGGGCATGACACAGCTCGATTCCCCTTCCCGCAGGGTTTCTAAAGACACTCCATCCGGTGGAGGCTGGCATTGGTCAGATAAGGACCACCGGGCCTCAAGCAACAACATGCATCGCTGTGTCCCCCGTTGTGTAAGGGATGAGGGAAAGTGCAGACTTCCCGGGTGGGAGCTTCTATCAGAGCAGAGGAAGTGGCCTGCTGCCCCGAGGGCTGCTTCTCTAGGGCACGAGTGGACGAACCGAGCCACTGGCCTGCTAGCCTCCTTGGGAGGCACTTGGAGAAGGAGGCTGGATCAGACCCAACGTTCTGAGTTTCTTCCAAATGCCTATGCTTAAAGTCCAAAGACGTGAAGGCCAGCCAAAAGATGATGGCGTCTGTGAAGCACATTATGGACTTCAAGCTCTGTACCCAAGCAGAACTCGGCTCCCACTGGATACTTACCAGAAGTTGGGGTCTTGTTTGCTTCTTATCTCCCCGACTCATTTACCTCCTAGACAAGAGTGGAAAGTGGGGACTCTCAGATGACCCTGAGCCATGTGGCACAGGGTAATGTTGGAGAAGTCAATTGTATTGTCTGGGGCCATGTCCAGTGTCAGGGGTGGAAGGTGGTAGAACCAGGATTTGAACGTTTGATATGTGGTCAACTACTTATTACCATTGTTAAGTGTCCGAGCAGTAGGCAAGGTCTAGATGTCAACTGTTAAAGTATCATGATCATGAGTGTGTGCTTGTGTGCGTGCGTCTGTGTATGCATGTGTATCTGTTTGTGTGCTGGTGCCAAGGACAAAGCTTTCCCACAACCCCCAGCCCTCTCATGGGCACCTTTTGGATCATGTGCTTCTGGTTAAGTGTCCAATATGAGCCGAGTTCTGCTCGGGTGCAGGGCTTGAGGTCTGTAACATGCTTCACGGACACCATCATCTCTTGGCTGGCCTTCATGTCTTTCGATTTTCAGCCCAGGCATTTGGAAGAAACTCAGAGCATTGGGTCTGATCCAGCCTCCTTCCCCCAGTGGGTCAGTGTCTCGGTCTGTCCACTGCTCGCTCACCTAATGCCCTAGAGAAGCAGCCCTTGGGGCAGCTGGCCACTTCCTCTGCTCTACCCCGGAGAGTCTGTGCTCTCCCTCATTCCTTACACAACTGGGGACACAGTGATGCACATTGTAGCTTATGACCACTTGTGGGCACCTTTTGGATCACACACTCCGACCCAGAACTCTTGGAACCCTGTTTCTCCAGAAAAAAAAAATCGGACTATCTTTCTTCGTGCCTCTAGGCCAATTGTGAGAGGAAAAGATGGATGTAAAAATAGCTTCGGGTAACCTGGGGGAGGAATACCACAGGAAAGCAGACACCTTTCTGGGAACGCTGGTCTGGGGCATTAGGACAGAAACACCAGCTGGCTTCTTTCCTCCCTTCAGGTGGGGGGCCGAACCTGTGTCTTAGTCAGGACCTGGGTTATCTGTCCTGCCAAGGAGGAGGGCGCCATTGCAATTAAGATGCCTGGTGCTTGGGGCTGGAGCGATAGCACAGCGGGTAGGGCGTTTGCCTTGCACGCAGCCAACATGGCCAACCCTGGTTCGATTCCCAGCATCCCATATGGTCCCCCGAGCACCGCCAGGAGTAATTCCTGAGTGCATGAGCCAGGAGTAACCCCTGAGCATCGCCGGGTGTGACCCAAAAAGAAAAAAAAAAGATGCCTGGTGCTTGAATTGTGACTTTGAAAAGCCAGGGGATACTTTGGAAGGGTGCACAGTGTTATAGCCATGGCTGGAGAAAGGCCTGTGCTAGGCCCTCTGCAGCGTCTAGGTACAGGTGAAGTGAGCGGATCCTCGGAAGTGAAAGCAAGTTGCCATCCCCACCCTCCACCCCCCTGCGCCCCACCACCTCCAGCTGCCGGTCTTATCAGCATCCTCCTCCCCCACAAACGGAGCCAAGGGTGTGTGGCTCCGCCCGCTCTGACCCCAGCCCCATGAGATCCCTTCTAGAACAAGCGGCTCTACTGTGTATTCAAGGTTCTGAGGTTCTGAGATGTGCCCTGGGATCCTGCTTCTCCTTTGCTCTGTCCTCCGTGTCCTCGAGGAGAGGCTTGAGCAGGGCAGCAGTGATCCCCTCTCATCCCCTTGATGTTTTCAAGCCCCTGGGATGCCTTTAGGCCCTAGGCTTGGGCGGGGCTGCTCTTGAGCGAGATAAGGAAAGAGAAGCAGCAGCAGGGGAAGGTTCTAGACTCGGGCCTGAGGTAACCTAGGAGTGGACTGTGCCTTGGAGGAGTCTGTCCCTCTCTGCGCCTCCCTGTCTGTCCAGGAAGCGGGACGGGGGCTGAGACAGGGACTCCCAGGCACTTGGCTAAAGGCCTTTCAGGACCACCGTGAAGTGAGGGACAACGCGTCCTCTTCTTCTCAGAGCCGGGCCATCTCCTCAGCTTCCTGCATCTAAGTGAAGCTTTTTGTGGGGAGCATTTGGGAAAACATCACATTCGAGGATCTTGCGGGTGCAGTTCGGTTCTGCGAGGCTGTCGTATCTCACTTAGGGGCGTCACGGGGGAGAGCTTGCTGGAGAAAGGGGCCCGTCTCACTGGGAGAACCCAGAAAGCCCTGTCAGGGCTGATGTCTCAGGGAGAGTCTGCACTGACTTTTGTGCCACGGCTGAGGGGTTGTTTCCTGCTGCGTCATAACAGAGAAAACACCAAGACCAGGGAAGAGAGCCTGGAGCATCACTTCAAAGCAATGAACAGCTTCAGTTCTGCTCCACACTGAAGAAATTAAGCGGGAGGCGTCTGTGTGTTGCTAGTCTCCCATGCTGGTCTCCAAACAAAGCTCCCAGCACTTCCACTCGGGACAGCCCCCCCCTCCCACCCAGGGGCCCCCCATTGTCTGTGTTTCCTCCTCAGGACTCAGCCCACACGTCCCTGCTCCTGGTCCACCTTCTGATTTCCCACCCAACAATAGAAGTGTTGTGAAATAAACAGTATCAGCTTAAGAAACAAAGCTTTTTTTTTTTAACCCCCCTTCTCTTCTTACAAAACTTCCTTTTTGTAACTACAAGAGGAAACGTACTCAGCCAGAGGAGAAACTTGACTTCTAAGAAGCTGAAGAAAAGCTTGTCTAAACTCAGGTGTGAACCAGAAAATGGTTTGATTTCAAAAAGCGGATTCAGTATTCAGGAGACAGAGGCTGTGGACAATCTCATCATTTGAAAATTCAGAGTTATGGCCAGAGGTGCAAGCTGCAATTTTTGAAACGATGTGAAGTTGACTTTGAAATTTGGCACAATTCCAGACTGAAGGGGTTGTAATAGAAGGCAACCGATCTCGATTAACAAAATATAAATACAGTACCTTAACCTCTGACAATAGTTTAGTAATCTCTTCTCCAAGGACTTAATGGCTCCGTGGTGAGATGCAACAATCTTCACTAACTTTCTTCTAAGGAAACATTTGTTGATTATTCTGTTAGCAAATTATTGACAACAAGCAATATTAAATAAATTATTGAGGGCCTGCTATGGGCGTAGTCTTGATGGGAAGTTAGAAAAATTGGAGACAATGATGGAGGGAAGGTGGAATGGTGGTGGGATTGGTGTTGAAATATTGAATGCCTGTAACAAATCATCATGAACAACTTTGTAAACCACAGTGTTTATATGAAGTGTAAGGGGAAAACTGGAAAGATAAATAAATTTTAGAAGAATGCTGCACACTGCATTTTAGTGAACTGTGTGGAATAGTGTCCATGGTTGTCGGATCTCTCTCCCCAGTTCCTGAATCATATACAAAGGAAACAAGAATACATATAGGGAACACTCCATCCTGCCCAGCCATGAGAGGAATAACATGCTGGACAGTGTATTTCCCCCAACTTTATTCTGGAAATTTAAA